TCTCTCAACTACTCCACCTATGTTTCTCAGGTGATCCAGGAACTATTCCATCTAAGGACTTGTAGGTACTTGCTGAGATGTAGGCTTCTAGGTACCGTGCAGATCTACTGAATCATTCATAGTGCGTTGATGAGCTCCTGCTCTCCTTCTCTCTAGTTCACGTTCCTTCTTCATAATTCCATCCCTCTGAACTTCAACACTGTCAGGAACTTGTTTATCATCTCAGCATTGCTGTCTGTGTGGGACTTGTTTCTACTTGTACACTCTAACTTCTGGAGAGAACATCTATAAATGTTAACATCTCGTGGTAGTCTGCTTTAAAGTATGAGCAGCATGCCTCAAAGCACTTATGCATTTTATAATATGTTACTCAAATGTCCTTTATTATGAAAGTACTGAATTTTGGTCAATCATATATTTCTTTTTCAAGGTTGGTGTTATGGCCACTTATAATTAATATGATTATCAGTAAAACTAAATTTACATATATCACCTTTCATTTTTTTTCTTTAGAAAATTGTTTAAGACAGTTTATAAACTTCTCTATCCTTTGTTTCTTTTATTTTTCCTATTTTTATTGTATTGATTAAATGTCTTATAATTTTATTATATCTCTACTATTGACTCAGAGCCTTGCTTTTTAAAGAAGTGGTGGTCCTAGGGTTTACAATGTACATCTTGAACTTGTATTCATCTTCAAATTATATAATGTCACTACACATGTATTTAAGAACCTTAATATATTACCATCCCTTATGTCCTTTTATTATTGTCATATATTTTACTTATGTTATTAAATCAATACACTATTGTTAGTAATTTATTCACAACTACCAGTTATCTTTCAAAGAAATCTTTAGAATGAAAAATTGTTTTTTATGCTTGCTCCCATATTGACCATTTCTGATGTCATTTAAATTTTTGTGTAGATTCATAGTTTATATGGCATTATTTTCCTTCTGCCTAAAAAATTACTGATAATGAATTCTCTCAGATCTTTGTTTCGTCTGAAAAAGTCTTTAATTCATCTTTATTTTTGGTATACATTTTTGCATAGGATTCTTGGTGCTTTCATTTCAGTGGTTTTATTTCAGTGATTTAAAGATGTCATTCTGTCTTCCTGCTTGCATTGTTTCTCACAGAAACCATGCTGTTGTTCTTACCGTCAGCCTTGTTATATGCAAAGTTTTTATCTCTGGACATTTTTATGATTTTCTCTTTATTACAAGTTTTGAGTAATTTGAATACAACATGACTCACACTAACTTTTTTGGTGTTTATTTTTCTTGGGGTGTATTGAGCTTCGTTAATCTGTGGATATATAGGTTTCATTAAATTTGGAAATTTTTGCATAAATTAGAATATATTTTCCCACGAGTCTATACTTTATTCATATATTAGCCTTTTATTCCCTCTATGTTTTACTTTGTATATTTTCTATTACTATTTCTTCAGATTTACTGATTTGTTTGTGTGCAGTGTGTAAACTATGGTCATTTTCATCCAATTATATTTCATGTCAGATGTTATTTGATTTGAATCTGCTTTGTATCTTTCATTACTTTTCTAACTGTGCTTATGTTCTTTTCTTCTATCTTCTTGATCATATAGGGTATACTTATTGTAATTTTTAATGTCCTTGTCTACTATGTCTGTCATCTTTCCATTTTGTGTTTCTTTTGATTGATACTTTCCTCTTAAAAATGAGCCATAGTTTCCTACTTCTTTTCATTCTGATAATTTTTGCCAGGATGCTTAAATTGTGAATTTTCTCTACTTGGGTCCTGTTTTATTTTATCATTTAAATAATGTTTGGCTTTGTCTAGGTTACAGGCAAATTATTTGGAGTCAATTTGATTTTTTTGAGTGTTGCTGTTTAAATCTTTTTAGAGCAGATCCAAAGGCAGCGTTTACTCTAAGACTAACTTACTGTCATTTCTAAGTCAATATTACACCGAGGACTCAGTCCACTTCACCATGCGTTAGGATTTCTTTACACACATGTTGTTGTTGGAACAAAATCATTCTTGACTCAAAAGCTCCAGGATCTTCTTTCTTCAAATCTCAAGAGGTATTTAGCTATGGGACTCTTCTTTGTTCTGTCCCCCACAAATTCCAGCTGCTTTAGTCTCCTTGAGTTCCAAAATCTGTGTCCTTACTTTAGGATGACTGTTGTCCTTTCAGTTCCTTTTTATGGGGCTCACAGCCTGATAAATTTCCATGGAGTGAATTTGGCAATTGTAGGACTGTTGTGTTTCATTTCTGGGCTGCCAGTTGTCACATGTTTGAAGACCACTGTGTCCCCTGTATTTTTCTAGTTTTCTGATTGTTTAAGGTAAGAAGATAAATGTGATCTGCATTACTTCATCATAACTACAGGTAGACATCTCCTTAGGAATAGTATTACTTAGTTAAATATTGGAAACAGTCCAAATGCCTATCAACAGATGAATAGATAAGGAAGATGTGTGTGTGTGTGTGTGTGTGTGTGTATGTGTATGTTAATGTAGTGGAGTACTACTCATCCCTAAAGGAAGATAAACTTGAGACATTTATAACTGAATGGATGCACCTCAAGACCATTCTCTTAAGTAAAATAAATTGGACACACGTGTAAATATCACATTGTTTCTCTGGTGTAAGAAACTGAAATGTCAATGAGGAGCAAAATGTATAATAGGTACCATAAAATAGGAAGAAAATGTTCAAAGATGAAGGGGAACTAGGGAGGGGGTGAGGGAAAGGAATGAAGGGAAAGAAAAAATTAGAAAAGAAGGAAAAATGGAAACAAAGTTTTTGTAAATAAGGAGGGGAAGAGGGAAGAAGGGAATGGGAAAAAATAAGACTTTGTACAGGTACAAATTCCCTATGATGAATGTCATCATGTATACCTAAAATGTACTAATAAACTTAATTAATAAAAAAGAATAGTTTTGCTTAAGGTTGGGCATAATGGTGCATGCCTGGAATCCTGTCACTATGGGAGCCTAGACTGGCAAATCAGTGACTCTGTGAGACCCTGTCTCAAAAAAATGAATAGTATTATCTAAACATTAAGGCAT